TGGGGGGGGGAGAGGGAGTTTTAGTAAGTGTTTTACGGCACTTGCAGCACAATAAGGTCGTATATAAGTGCCGAAGAAAAGAGGTGTTACAAGAGAGTAACAAACACAAAAAAGAAGGAGGGGAGATCAGGATGATAGATGTCAGATAGGAAAGAATAAAAAAACCCACAGCAGAGCACCCGCCAACCTCCCACCCTGTACGGATTTATTCACCATGGTCGGACGCTGTCGGTCTCCACTGTAATACGGGGTGCCTTTTAGCACGATCGGGTCGGGTCGGATCGGATCGCTTTGGTATGGTAGGCGGGGGTCGCAAGATTGAGGGCGCCAAGCGACCATCGTGGCACAAACCGATCGCCTGACTCGCAGCCTCAAGAACAAGTCGTGCCTGTTTATGTTACTGGTGTACATTGTATTGTATTGTAAAGCGCTCACAGCCTGTGTACTTTAATCGGGGTTGAGTGTTATAATATATAAATGTCATTTATTATTATTATTATTATTATTATTATTATTATTATTATAATTATCATCATCATCATTGCCGACTAACTGCCAAAAAAATCTCTGCAGGTCTCGTGTGCAAGTTGCGCACGTTCAAGATTCCTAAGTGGCCCTAAAATCGATAAGAGTAGACTTTGGCCGCCACCCGGACAAAGTTAAACATTAATCCCTACCAAACTGAAAATGCTTAATGAGTCCCGCGCGCTCATATGACCTTATGCTGTTGCAAGTGCCGTAAAACACTTAACAAAAGAAAAAGAAAAAGAAAAACCACGCACACACACACAAAAGAAAGAAGAGAAGCCGAGCATCAGACGGGGAGGACGAGCCAGCTATCCTTGCGAAATACCATCACAGTTTGGTCCTTGGACTTCAGCAAGGCCGTCATCGAAACTCCCTAAAAGGATCAATAAACGAGGGTGGTTGGCGGGTGCTCTGGTGTGGTTTGCTCCTTCTTTCCTATCGAACATCTATCGTCTTTATCTCCCCTCCTTCTTTTTTGTGTTTGTTACTCTCTTGTAACACTTCTAATCTTCGGCACTTATATGACCTTATTGTGTTGCCGTAAAACTCTTATTAAAACTAAAAAGGATCAATAAACACACAAACAGGAAAACTACCACTTGCCCACAGACCCGATACGAACAGATATATAGAGTTGCCAGTTGTTGGTTCAGATTTTAAAAAAAAAATCAAATTCTGCGTGTATAATGTACACCCATCTTCCCTGTCATTTCATCATCATTTTGTATGTGTGTGTATGTGTATATATGTGTGTGTGTGTGTCTGTGTGTGCGTGTGTGTTGAGGGAGGAAGTTAGATGTGGTCTCAAGCTTAATTATGGTAATATTCATTGGTACGGAGAACAGTAGTGTCACTGGTCAGTTTGGCAGGTTTCTGGATTTCTTGAATGTGCATCGAGAGCGTAATGTGAGTGTATGAGATAGCAATTTAATTTGTACAGCTAGCAAGCTAAATAACTAGATAGATAGACATTTAGATAGCTATCTCGATAGATGTCACAGAGAAATAAATAAAGATAACAAAACAGAAAGGAAAATTACACAACACAAACGGAAATAACAAGGGAAAGAGAACCACCCATACAGAAACATTTAGCACGAAAGTAAACCCCTCACCC